GAGAAAATAGAAACTCATGTGATCAATATACTCCCCGTCTTTTCTGGACACTAAAAGTTCATTGCCACTGGACCACATTCTTAGCCAGCTGAATACAATTCACGCCTTAAAATCTAATTTCCGTAAGACCCGTTTTAAATGTATCCTACTATCTTCCAGTAATATTCTGAAGGTTTCTACTTCTTGACCAAAATATTTACATATTCTTTATCGTAGCCATGCGTGTTAGAAGACTCACCAAGTCTACTAAATCTGATCATCGTAGTGGTATTAGGCTAAGAGTAAAAGCTGTGAAGCTTCCCATTTTATATTTTTCCTCACGCTCCTGTTACTTCCTCACACTTCGGTTCACAAATTTTCCTTCCTATCCTCTTCTCATACGCTCTCAATTAATGCTCCTTGCTTAGCTTAAGGGATCAAGTTTCACACCAATGTGATGTACTGGCAACACAGTTACAATTCTATGTAATATAATTCTTAGAATTTTAAATAAAGGTCAATGAATACATTTCTAAAAAAATATGTCTGATATCAAAGATAGCAAGCATTCCTCGAATTTAACCTGCTTACAATTTCAATTTTTTAAAAAATCATGTAAATATTTAACTAATTTTTCGAAACGAAACATCGAAGAAAAAGTCTTAAAGAAAAATCTAATGAACAATACCAAGAATAATCCAGGACTGGAATTTAATATTTATAATTGTCTGGCTAGCTTAAGTCTGCAATACATAATAAGACAATGAGACACAAGAACGATTACAGTTTTCATATCCAACCATCCCTTCTATATGAACAATACCGCTTCCTTTCGGAAATAAAATATCTAATGCAAATTTTTCTTCGCGGTTCTTAGGCCACGGTTACCATTTTAGCACTTTAGACTTCACTCGGAAAGAAGGACCCCTGTATCTAGTAACTATATCTACTGGTGCCCCGTTACGACTTCCGACCCATTCTCTACACCTCCTCCCCCTAACCATTCCTTTTCTTACAAGGAGAAGAAAATAAAGAGAACACAATATAAAGCCAGAAAAACAAAAAAGAAGTAAACACAATATACAATAATTTTGAGTCATTTCCTTTATTTTAAAGTTTATTAATGTTATGATTGTGTGTGTCTGGGACAGTGAGGTTATGAAAGGGAATCTTGACGGTGCAGGCAACTTAACAGCAAGTAGATTTGAATATCGCGAGAGAACAATGGAGATACACCACACATTAATAGGCTTCTGTTGTACAACGAATTCTGGAGAAAGAGACAGAATGAGGATGTAAGAAGACGACACTGGGCTAAATCTTCTCATCTTCCTCCAGCCACTACAACCAACCCAGCCTCCCTTTCAGTTAAATATATGTGCAAAGTTATAATACAAGGAAATGTGTGAAACAGAATAAGCAGTTCCAGGGGTGATACTTCAGGGAGGGTTCTATATATGAAGGGGTGGAGTGGAGTAAGCCGTCCCGGGCCGTATTTAACACTGCACTAATAAACAGAAGGTAGAAGTGTCGAGGCAGCCTGGATATGTATGCGAATGTAACATTTAAAGAAATTAAAATTAAAAAGTCACAGGAAGATCAGACAAAATTTTGGACAGCAAAACAACGAAACGTAGTTGATTCTGAGAGGTTCTGACGATGGTGTATAATATTTAGAATTACTGGGGTTTTGGACTTAGTACAATGATTGAGGTTAGCTCTTTCTGAGAGACCCAACAGAGTAGGTGTCTCCCCCATCCCCCCCTCACCTGAGGACGGAGACAGATACAGTTTCCGAAACGTTGTGTTTTCTAGTTTCTAGAATACCGGACGATGGACAAAGTCCAGAAACCCAGTGATTCTGTGCGAAAATTACGATCGCAATTTAGACAAACTGCAAGTCTGTATAGCTATTTTAACGAGAGGTTTAGAGAAAATATATTAGTATTTCAGTTGTATTACTGTTATCATTAGTAGGAGCCAAGTAGGCCTGTTATCAGGGAGGATGAGATGATAGAATATTTACCGCTCGGGAAATGGATGGATATACAATTTTAGTATAACTTCGCCGACAAGCGGCGGTATCTCGGTCGGTATAGTTCGCTTGCGGACTTAAGCCACGAAGTTTAGTTTTTTATATAAATTTCATGGCGTTTCTTTTCAAGAGTGTCTCGCCTTCTAACTATACTGATGTACGTGTATATATATAAATGTCTCAATTGCACGTCAGAAACGTGAAAAATGATTAAGTCAGAGGTACTGGAAACTGTGTCTGCATTTGATTGGGTGCATGTACCAATGAATGTGATGGAAACATAGACTTGTCCCTCCAGTACACAGAGGTTAAGGTGTCATAAAAATTGAGCCATTAAAATAATAAAGCATAAACAGGCGATATGATGTAACGAATTTTATTCAGACTCCTCCAGTTATGCTGCCTGTACACTGTATCCATGTAGTATACAGAGAGTGCGTATTAGTTATATAATTGGAGTTAACATCGAATCAATTGAAAATCTCTCTACTTCACTGATTATATAACATGACCGACTTCGTTGTATCTTGCATTAACTCCAGACCATTGAATACCCATATTAACTCCAACAGAGATACAGAAAGCTAACCAATATAGTTCCTAGCCTCTCTTCATAACGCTCTTTCTCTCCTCCAGAACTGCTTGCTAGGCGCATTCGGAACCCAGCGGAGCACTAAGTTCGCTACAGATATACATATATACATATCTGTAGGATGAAACCACTGAATTTGGATTCATGACTTTCATTTGATGTTGCTCTTTCTTACTAAAATTCTTCAGAGCGCTTTACTTTTGGCTGAAATCGGGGAAATAAATAAATACCTTATACGAGATACATTCGTTTCTCGAGCATAAATCGATAAATATTTGTCGGAGCGAAACAATGCTTGAACAATAGTTACAGAAAAAGTTGAAGCGCGTATTTTATATTAGAAACCCATTTTACGTAAGTCTTACATGTTTTCGAGACATTTAAACGGAAGGAGCGCTACGCCTGCTTTTCCGAATTTGTATATTCAGGGAACATCTGTGTTCTCCCAAACACATCATAATATACCGTTGTCGCCTGTTCTCGGTAACAATAAAATGAAACTTTTACCTGAATTTATGGTCTTCGATCATATAAGCATAAATTTAATTCATATATAATTGATCATGCTACCGAATTCTTCTGTTCTCTGTCATAATATGACAAATGAATTTAGTGATCAAGTTGTTTTATCAGAGCATCTCAACAGACATAGAAAGGAAAGGCATCTCTGACTAAATTCAGACTGCACTGAAATCAGGTTCATTCCATCTTACAGTACAGAAACGTATGCTTGTGCGCCAGAGATCGAGGCAATATTTCCCAACTATTCAATAACTATTTGTCAGACTACAAGGCATGACGTACAAGACCATATTTATGTTCTTTTATTTGTTTATTATAGAGGTAGAGTTCATCAGTCTTCATTATTCGTAGGTAAGGCAGCTCCAGAGTTACAGAATGCTTTTTCTTCTTCACATGTTACATTTTCCTCTCCTACAAATAATTTCAAGATTATGGAAGTTGTAGATGTCATTTACCGTTCCTTCTCTGTTTGTACTTCTTAGGTGCACAGCTTATGCGTTTAGCTTCTTGTTTATTTTCAAAGGACGCTTGATGCTTTAAAGATGTATCGGAGTTTCAGTTGCACTACACATCTGTCGTCATCCAGCATTTTGTATGTTTGTTCCCTGTAAGAGAATGGAAGAAAGTTCAGAGGTACTTCTTGAATCAAGTGCTTGTTCAGACGACTAACCTCGTAGGGCATAATTCTTATTCTTCTTCTTAAGCCAATAGGCTCTCATCTAAACAAAAAATTCTTCACATTTTACGGAACCCGAAGGTACACAACCATGTTCAAAAGAACCTGCCACATTTTCCTATCCTGAGCCAGTTTAATTCAGCCCAAAGGTTCATATCATATTTAAGATGCATTTTAACATTATCATCCCATGTACACCTACAATTTCAGACAGTTTTCTTCCCCCTACGGGGGCACGCGGTAACATAGTTGGTCGAGGCACTATGCTACAAGCCAGAAGCTTGTGGTTTCGAGTCCCGATGTGGTGGGTTATTTTCAATTGACCTAATCCTTCCAACCGCACTATGGCCCTAGGTTCGACTCAGCACCTAACAGAAATGAGTGTCAGGAATCTTCCTGGAGGGTTAAGGGCAGCCTGCGCATGAGGCTGACAACCTTACCGCCATCTATGTGCCGATTGTCTAGAAAATGTTGGAGCCACGACGTCTCACAATCCTATAGGCCTTCATGGCCTGTTACAGGGATAGTTTTACCTTAGTTATTTCCGTTCAGGTTTTCCGATAACAATTTTATATACATTTCTCATTTCTACCATGCCTACCACACACCCAGTTTGCTTGTGTATTGTCAGCAAAATTCGAAGATTGACAAATAATAACATGACTGGAATGTAAATAATTGATAAGCCCACTGTTGTGGATACTCAAGTAACTTATTTCATTGGCCGCGCCATAGCTCAAGCGGTTAGTCGTTGGCTTCCCACTACGGCGGCCCGGGTTCGATCCCGGGTCTGGTCAAGTGGGATTTATGGTGGACAAAGTGGCGCTGGGGCAGGTTTTCTCCGAGTACTTCGGTTTCCCCTGCCAATCTTCATTCTACCAATTGCTCCACAATCACCCTCACCTATCATCTGGGGCTGGTATAATAGGCCAGAAGTGGCCGCAGTACAAGGGACTTCGTCCCACCCCACTAGCAATAGGGAAAACTTATTTTATTAGAATAAAATGATGTTACTATCATATAAGTATTTCCATCTGTATATATTTCTCCCAAATATATTTAACTACTTAATGGGTTTCTATGAAACTCTAGAACTGGACGTTCTCATTGTCTGTCATATGTACAACCGGAATTGAAAAAGTAACGTACAGAGGTTCACATGACTTATGTTTCGTCTTTCTGTCCTCTCTCTACAGGTTTCACGGGTCGCGCTGTCTGGACATCTGTGTTCCAGACTGAGATGAATTCTGCTTACCTCAAACTGGAACCATGGAATTTGATACCTCTCCAAGCAATTCCGGTAAGCGAGTCAATGTAAATATCTGTTGGTTACCCATTTCAGTTGTTCTTAAGAAAACGTCCTTGCTATTGAATCAGCTTCAAAGATTTTGATTCGTTTTCTGTCAAATTTGTTAAGGGAGGTCCACATTAAATTCTGTAGAGACAATTCAGTTTCAGATTAGATAGATGTCCCTTGGAAAGTGGATCGGTCTACGCAAGAGCATGAAAGTTTTTTACACATATTATTCATTTTTTGACAACTTTTGAGAAAATTCTTATCAAATATTTCTATATATGTGTTACTTATGTTAGTGCTTGTGACTGAGATGTTTTCGTTCTGTTTGATTTGAAGACGCACATTTCTTATGCAGAAAAACTACACTGTTTTATTACCACTCTCCTGGAAGAAGTAAATTATGAATAAACGTTATACATTGTATGCATCTAAAAAAAATATCTGCATATATAACTTGTTTCGAAAAATATCCCCAGTTTATTAAAGATACTCATTTGGTGTGCCATCGGAAGTGATGCTACACCTACTTTCTTCCTGCCGTGTAGGTCTGATATATGGATGTCAGGAAGATTTACGACACGTTGCATATATCTAGACAGCAGACAGAAGTCATGCGTAAACGAAACGCGCCCATGTGATATCACACCCAGGGGTGTTTCTGCCCTTCGCGTTGCGATGCATGAAATGCAGCTTAGAAAACACAACCACTCGAAGACTACAAATGTTACAATTTGTAGCGAACAAATATAATGCAAGATATTAAAATTTCTGTCCATATTTTTATAGATTGTTACCGACGTTTCGGAGGAACCTACTTCCAGATTTCTCCGAATTTTTTGTAAATATCCAATAAAATAGCGGCACCGCTTCCCAGGAGAACTTTCTTCATATATTTCACAGTGAAACCCTCAAATCTCAAATATTAAAGAAAGATATTCCTTTTTCGTGTTTTATGTTCCTCATGCTCATTCTGATTCTGAATATTATAATTTCGAAAAAGACTTATAGTGGGTATCTCATCCATGTGAGGAACTATTCCGTTTGGTAGACTTGAAAGGATTCTGACGATGGTGTATTTCAAGTCTATCTGAGTAACCGGTATGGACCCGGTATCTATCCTTCGTTTAGAAAATTGGAATACCTAAAAATCAGTTTGGCCAAAACCCNATATTTTCATCATTTTATGCAATAAAGTGAATTGATTTTTTTCATTCGCTTAGTGGGGGGTGGAGTCCAGCTGGGTCCACTGGGCACGGCGGCCACTGATTGGCCTATTTTAGCCTGCCCCGGGGGATTATGATAATGGAGAATTTGGTGGAATGCAGATTGGCAGGGGAAACCGAAGTACTCGGAGAAAACCCGCCCCAGCGCCACTTTGTCCACCACAAATCCAACTTGACCAGACCTGAGATCGAAACCGGGCCGCCGCGGTGGGAAACCAGCGACTAACGCCTTGAGCTATGTCGCGGCCAAGTGAACTAAAAGAACGGGGAAATGCATAGCGTGATGGTACTACTATGCAACACGAATTGTAATAGCAGCTTTGGCAAGGACATGAAGAAGTGGACCAAAGGAAAAATTTACCGCAGAAAGGAATAGACGTGAACAGAAGTCTTGACAGCTCAGAACATTGTCCATTGACCAATAAATTACAAATAAACATACCTCATACTCTGTAGAGTTTGAGTGCCAGCTGTTCAATAGGCTCTCACTTCATGATTTCATCTTTGTGCAGCCTAATAACATTTGGAGATGAGTACAAAATTATAACACTCCTTATGGTGTAATTTTCTCAAATCTCCTAGTACGTCCTCTTTCTTAAGTCCAAAATTTTACCCCAATATTTTATTCTCCGATATCCATTTAATTATGTTGTTCCATTTCGGGCGAAATACCACATTTCTACATCCATAAAACAAGATAAGTACAGAGTTCCATCTTCCGGGATGTAACTCCGTGTAGTCCGTTGAAAGTCATCCGACATTTCGGAAGTACAATTAGCCTGCGTCTTCAATGTTGAAGAGTAACCCAAGTAAGAAATCGACTTCAAGCAGTTTTGCCTGTTGCCTTCTTCCTGCTGATTTATTGTTTGGCTGACTTTTCAACCTTGAAATACAGAGGTGACATGTTCCTCCGAAACATCAGGTGTCTTTCGATGCGACTGCTTGGCACTTTATCTCAGAAGATAAAACACTCCGTAACCACCGCTATGAAAACATCAAATCGCATGTTAGGTAAAGTTTCGTGTATTGTAATTTTTATTTTCTTATAGCAGAGGGGAAGAAGAAAAACCCTCGATGGAAGATAGTAGGAAGCATTCCTGGAATTTAATCTGCTTTTAATTTCGTTGCCTGCGTTATTTTGAATTGTTGCTCTGTGTTATTTTCTGCAACATCACTCCTTCTTAGGAACCTCAATACAGGTATTTCCTTAAACAAAACCGAGTAGCACTACAGCACTTAATATCTTCCTCGGGTTCCGTGGTTTACTTGCACAGTGTTCCAGATCCCATGACGTAAGCAAACTTCCAAGGAGATATTACATGTACACAATTAACAGGGTAGTTTGTCACATGTCACCCTGACATATTACGTACATCAACCCTAAAGCTTGAGGTCAGAACAATAACATATTCTGTGCTTACAGTTGTAAGTACAATCTTCATCACCACTATTAATACTCACCAAGGCGACATGTTGAATTGTATTGGGCCAAAACTTAAGCATCCCGCATAATACTACAGACGTACCCTATCATAGTCTGTAATAACCTTCCCTACCTGTTTACCTGACGTCTGTTTTCACGCTGATTGTTCTTGTTGTCATCTGACAAAGCCTCTAACTCTATCCCATTTTGCTGATAAAGATATTTGTGTATGAGTGGAACAAGTCTAATAACAGCATTAGAATACTAACACATTTTTGTACCGATAGAACAGATTGGCTGGCAGGAACACATAGGCTAATTGCAAATTTTAAGCTTTGCCTGATAATCATGTTATGGAGTCTTATACTGCAAGTGGTGGTAAATCCATGCCCTTTTCATATACCGACACTCGTGAGCTTCAGCGGAAAGGGCGTCCTTTTTTAATACTGTTTAATTCCAAATGTTGAAAATGAATCCTAAGAACTCTCCTCGGTGTTTGAATCCTGTCTGCCCAGCTCTGTCGAGATAAGCTGGGACCTATGAATATCATATTTTTTGTCAAGTTTGAGATAAGTCTAGGGCTTCATAGATTCGGAGCAAGAAGATTATGTTATTTCTCTCTTGATAGTGCTTTCAAACCCAGTCCTACCTCGAAGTCCGGAGATAAATGATAATCAACTCGCTGAGAGGCCTGGAAACTGAAATTCTTTGCACAAACACACACAAAGCGCTGCTTAGAAAGTATTTTTGTGGCACATTTTACGATGCTTTCAGTATCGAAGCGTCGAATGGTAGGATAATAGTTGAATAACAAACTGTAAACGATTCAGAAGAGGCGATCCTGGCCTGATTGAGAAAATATTTCAGGATCTTCCTGGAGTGGCGGAGACAACCCACAGGAAGCCTTAGTCAGGACTGTCAGTATCTAAGTCGAGTACTCACCGAGCAATTCCCGTATACACTTCTAGAAAACTACCGGTAGGCAGACTTGTTGTGTTTAAAATACGCAGTTTCATACTTTTGAATATAAACAGTTATAGCCTATTGTAAAATATCCTAAACTGGCATAATTTCTTTGAAGTTTACCTCGTTAAAATATAAATTATATTCGTAATGCTCATATTCATGAGTTCCAAAATCAATAGTATCACGTGTATTTTCCAAAATAATAAAGTAACGTTAAGGAATGATTTACTAGTTGTTTTATATGGGTAGGAGACGTATTTTACTATGAAGGAAAAAGGAGATATTTTAAGTGTTTGGAAGCAAAGTGTACAAGAAAATATTTGTACCCGACAAGGATATTATGAAAAAATTATATTGATGTGTAGATAATGGGAGAACAAAGAAATTCGTAGAGAATTTTGGCTGAGATCCTTGTTGTAAAATGGGCTCTTAGAAGACCGATATAAAAAGGGAACACAACTTAAACAGGGATAGTAGAGAAATCGGTTGTTAGAGTGGGTGGCAGCTGTAACTGTCTGAGGATCGCTTTCGATGATGGGGTTTCATAATGACGTAGCTGAACCTTCACACTGCAAGTCACTTGTTCCAGCATAGCATAGTACAGTCTTGAGACTTCCTTTTGACACCGCCTAGTCCCAGTAGTTGAGCTAACATTTCAAATAATGTGCTAGTTTGCCTTTATAACTTCAGTCTCTTTCATTCGGCATTAAAATTATGGTTTATATTTCCTATCTTTAAATTCTGCAGATGCTCTAAGGCAATTTGCATTCAGGCATTTTAAATTGAATTAAGGTCACATGACGAAATATTGTGCCACTATGATTAGTAGCAGACAGGTACCGCCAACTGGAACAGCAATTTTGACAATCATATTGTGGTTATCTGCCGGTCACGATAGTCCAGCGGTCTAAGGCCTGCACTCTCTTCTCTCGCTCGGAAGCCGGAATCGTAGGTTCGAATCCCACTCAGGGTATGGATGTTTGTGTGTGTTTTTCTGTGTTTGTGTACAGGTAGAGGCCTTGCGACGAGCTGATCACCCGCGCAAGGAGTCCTACCGAAGTGAAATGAAGAATTTCATGGAGGTAGGCCAAGGTCCAAATTGGGGCTGTAGCACCAGAGGCAAAAATATGGCAATCAAGTGTAACTCCAAGCAAATACCCGGATAATGCCACAAAAGGCACCATTTCTTTCTTACTCTCCCTTCGACATTCATATGATAGCTCTTAAGTTGTTAGCACTCCTCTTTCTTGTTCAGGAGGCCTCGGGTTTCACCATCCACTGACTAATTATATGCCCATCGACTTAAGGTTACAGCGGTTTTACTGACTCAAGTAAAACAGATTCTGGAATATTACAATAAATTGAACCACAGTCATCTTTAATTA